GTTATGATGGTAAATGTACTATAGTACTATAATTTATTTTAAAGGCTTCAAATATGAAAATCATAAGAAGTTTACAGCAATTCAAAAGGAATCACAAAAACCTTACATCTAATTTAACTTACTAAACGCCACGAAGAGGCCTTCATCTCTTGTCATCATTTTCATCACACTGCCTCGGTTAGTTTGCAAACGATAAATGTAAGATCTAAAGCAAGAAGTAAAGAGAACTCAAACTTCCAAAATTAAGCGTATTTACTTCAACTTCGTATCATATACAGACACCATGCCTGCCTCATCTCCGACATAGATGATGTTCTCCATGTCATTATCAATACAAACAGCCGAAGGAATATTTTCTGTTACAATGGTCGTTTTCTGAATGATGAGCAAAAAAGACCTTAGAAGAGCATTACTTTGTGATTATAAGAAAAAGGTAAAGTTTGTAAAAAAGCCACTCACAATTGGTCCTTCTACCGAACATACAAAACATTTCTTTCCTTCACACGCAACCGCAAATATCTCCGATTCTGCAAGCAACAACTATACTTTCTACATAAAACTTTTCTGGTCAAATTGTAAAGGCTGGTATTGTAGAACCTCAATGACTGACTTTGATCAATAGCGAGGGCATTACATGGGCCGGCTTCCAGTCTCCATAGTTCCTGCTGTGAACCATCGGCGCATAACCATTTGATTACCGAGCCATCATGTGAACAAGACAGTACTTCACGTCCTACCCCAATAATGGCGATATCAGTAACCGCTAAAAAATGTGCTATAGTCAAAAGTTGAAAAAAAAGCAAATGGGTAATGCAATCTAACTCCAACCAATCAAAATCTAACCCATAGTATGTCCTTTGAATGTTCGTGGACATTGCCCCGTCTCCACTGACCACACTTTGACCGACATATCCATACCGGCTGACAGGACCACTAATCCACTGGGGAAAAATCGGCACTTGTACACATCCATAATATGACCTTTCAGAACGCGCTGAAACAAGAAAAAGATTTCTACACATTATATCGATACCAAGCTTGACATTTAGAATTTTACCGAAGCAGTGCAATCGAAAGGGTGAACTGTAGACTTGCTCTTTGCATTTCGCAATGATGTACAAATGTTAGAATCTATATGTCACAATAAATTCCATCGATTATAATAAGCAATGACTTTGGTGAATACTTTCACGGCTAGATAGCGAGATACACTGTAAACTACTATCCTCTCAAAAGAAAAACTTTTCTATTTAGAAAAAATGTCTAGGTATGGTACTGGGTTAAGCGACGTCAGTGACTCTCTGTATCACTGTTTTTCATAAATTGAATT